TCTATTCTATTATATGTATTTAGATTTTTATAACTTTTAAAGTTATCTTATCTACTTGATATTTCATATTTGTTTTGTCATTTTTTCATTTATACATCTCTATTCTATTATATGTATTTAGATTTTTATAACTTTTAAAGGTATCTTATCTACTTGATATTTCATATTTGTTTTGTCACTTTTTCATTTATACATCTCTATTCTATTATATGTATTTAGATTTTATAACTTTTAATTTCATATTTGTTTTGTCATTTTTTCATATATACATCTCTATTTTATTATATGTATTTAGATTTTTATAACTTTTAAAGTTATCTTATTTACTTGATATTTCATATTTGTTTTGTCATTTTTTCATTTATACATCTCTATTCTATTATATGTATTTAGATTTTTATAACTTTTAAAGTTATCTTATTTACTTGATATTTCATATTTGTTTTGTCATTTTTTCATTTATACATCTCTATTCTATTATATGTATTTAGATTTTTATAACTTTTAAAGGTATCTTATCTACTTGATATTTCATATTTGTTTTGTCACTTTTTCATTTATACATCTCTATTCTATTATATGTATTTAGATTTTTATAACTTTTAAAGGTATCTTATCTACATAATATTTCATATTTGTTTTGTCACTTTTTCATTTATACATCTCTATTCTATTATATGTATTTAGATTTTTATAACTTTTAAAGGTATTTTATCTACTTGATATTTCATATTTGTTTTGTCATTTTTTCATTTATACATTTCTATTCTATTATATGTATTTAGATTTTTATAACTTTTAAAGTTATCTTATTTACTTGATATTTCATATTTGTTTTGTCATTTTTTCTTTTATACATCTCTATTCTAATATGTATTTAGATTTTTATAACTTTTAAAGGTATCTTATCTACTTGATATTTCATATATGTTTTGTCACTTTTTCATTTATACATCTCTATTCTATTATATGTATTTAGATTTTTATAACTTTTAAAGGTATCTTATCTACTTGATATTTCATATTTGTTTTGTCACTTTTTCATTTATACATCTCTATTCTATTATATGTATTTAGATTTTTATAACTTTTAAAGGTATCTTATCTACTTGATATTTCATATATGTTTTGTCACTTTTTCATTTATACATCTCTATTCTATTATATGTATTTAGATTTTTATAACATTTAAAGGTATCTTATCTACTTGATATTTCATATTTGTTTTGTCACTTTTTCATTTTATACATCTCTATTCTATTATATGTATTTAGATTTTTATAACTTTTAAAGTTATCTTATTTACTTGATATTTCATATTTGTTTTGTCATTTTTTCTTTTATACATCTCTATTCTAATATGTATTTAGATTTTTATAACTTTTAAAGGTATCTTATCTACTTAATATTTCATATTTGTTTTGTCACTTTTTCATTTATACATCTCTATTCTATTATATGTATTTAGATTTTTATTACTTTTAAAGGTATCTTATCTACTTGATATTTCATATTTGTTTTGTCATTTTTTCATTTATACATCTCTATTCTATTATATGTATTTAGATTTTTATAACTTTTAAAGTTATCTTATTTACTGCATATTTCATATTTGTTTTGTCATTTTTTCTTTTATACATCTCTATTCTATTATATGTATTTAGATTTTTATAACTTTTAAAGGTATCTTATCTACTTGATATTTCATATATGTTTTGTCACTTTTTCATTTATACATCTCTATTCTATTATATGTATTTAGATTTTTATAACTTTTAAAGTTATCTTATCTACTTGATATTTCATATTTGTTTTGTCATTTTTTCATTTATACATCTCTATTCTATTATATGTATTTAGATTTTTATAACTTTTAAAGTTATCTTATTTACTTGATATTTCATATTTGTTTTGTCATTTTTTCTTTTATACATCTCTATTCTATTATATGTATTTAGATTTTTATAACTTTTAAAGGTATCTTATCTACTTGATATTTCATATATGTTTTGTCACTTTTTCATTTATACATCTCTATTCTATTATATGTATTTAGATTTTTATAACTTTTAAAGGTATCTTATCTACTTGATATTTCATATTTGTTTTGTCATTTTTTCATTTATACATCTCTATTCTATTATATGTATTTAGATTTTTATAACTTTTATAGGTATCTTATCTACTTGATATTTCATATTTGTTTTGTCATTTTTTCATTTATACATCTCTATTCTATTATATGTATTTAGATTTTTATAACTTTTAAAGTTATCTTATTTACTTGATATTTCATATTTGTTTTGTCATTTTTTCATTTATACATCTCTATTCTATTATATGTATTTAGATTTTTATAACTTTTAAATGTATCTTATCAACTTGATATTTCATATTTGTTTTGTCATTTTTTCATTTATACATCTCTATTCTATTATATGTATTTAGATTTTTATAACTTTTAAAGGTATCTTATCTACTTGATATTTCATATTTGTTTTGTCACTTTTTCATTTATACATCTCTATTCTATTATATGTATTTAGATTTTTATAACTTTTAAAGGTATCTTATCTACTTGATATTTCATAGTTGTTTTGTCACTTTTTCATTTATACATATCTATTCTATTATATGTATTTAGATTTTTATAACTTTTAAAGGTATCTTATCTACTTGATATTTCATATTTGTTTTGTCACTTTTTCATTTATACATCTCTATTCTATTATATGTATTTAGATTTTTATAACTTTTAAAGGTATCTTATCTACTTGATATTTCATAGTTGTTTTGTCACTTTTTCATTTATACATATCTATTCTATTATATGTATTTAGATTTTTATAACTTTTATAGGTATCTTATCTACTTGATATTTCATATTTGTTTTGTCATTTTTTCATTTATACATCTCTATTCTATTATATGTATTTAGATTTTTATAACTTTTAAAGTTATCTTATTTACTTGATATTTCATATTTGTTTTGTCATTTTTTCATTTATACATCTCTATTCTATTATATGTATTTAGATTTTTATAACTTTTAAAGTTATCTTATTTACTTGATATTTCATATTTGTTTTGTCATTTTTTCATTTATACATCTCTATTCTATTATATGTATTTAGATTTTTATAACTTTTAAAGGTATTTTATCTACTTGATATTTCATATTTGTTTTGTCACTTTTTCATTTATACATCTCTATTCTATTATATGTATTTAGATTTTTATAACTTTTAAAGGTATCTTATCTACTTGATATTTCATATTTGTTTTGTCATTTTTTCATTTATACATCTCTATTCTATTATATGTATTTAGATTTTTATAACTTTTAAAGGTATCTTATTTACTTGATATTTCATATTTGTTTTGTCATTTTTTCATTTATACATCTCTATTCTATTATATGTATTTAGATTTTTATAACTTTTAAAGTTATCTTATCTACTTGATATTTCATATTTGTTTTGTCATTTTTTCATTTATACATCTCTATTCTATTATATGTATTTAGATTTTTATAACTTTTAAAGGTATTCGATATCGATACCGATATTATCGATAGATCATTCAAGTCCGGTCTCTAGTAAGTATTATAACAAGAGACCGGACATATAAAATATCTGAACAAAGATCTGAATCCAATAAAATAGGTATTTAAAATCAAATTTAATTTAAAGCCAATCTACTCCACATATAATGAAAAAGTGTTTATGCCGAAATTATTTTTGAATGCGTTATTCACAAGTTTATTTTCATTAGTTACAATTATAATGAATTCAAGTGTTTGTTTTATTACAATAAAATATAGGTATGGTATAAATAAAGATTGTTGTACTCGTACATATATAAATTAATGGGGATAAGAGATTAAAAATTTTAATTTGTGAATTTTGGATGGCGTTGGGACGAGGAATTTTCAAAAAAAACTCTTAAATTCTCCGACTTTAGGTGACGGCGAATGAGACAAGTAATTTTTAGGATAAAATTTTTCTTTTATAAAAAAATAGGAAAAATTTTAATTTTTAGAAAAAATATACAGCATTAAGGAGTAATACAAGTATTTTGCTTGTATTTTACGCCTTATTTGAAATTTTGTTGAATACAGTAATATTTTTTTATTTGGCAACATCGACAACTGTAATTAATTTTCTTACAAATTGGTTATCCAAAACCTATATATTTTATGTAATAATTGTATTCAATACTTCGAATTTTATGTTACTTTTAATAGCATTGATCGCTTAGTAGGCGTTACTTTACCTATATTGTAAGATTTAATACATATTTAGGTCAGGGTGACCCTTATATCCTATTTATAGGGCATTTGCCCTATTTTTGACCTTTTCGCTCTTGTTTTTCCTATTTTCAACATTTGCTATATTTTGCCCTATTTTTACCATTTTGTAACATTTTAATTTTTTTGCCATTTTATAAATAGAATGTGAAATACGGAAAAAATCTGTCACTTGGCATTAAAAAATTCTCAAATTTTCGCCTGCGGCGCTGATAAGGAGAATACCGACTTATTATTGTGCTTTAATGCCCTATTTTTTGCATTATTTTTGACAATTTTCGCCTTATTTTTGCCACATTTTTGAGTGGCTGTGCCCTATCTTAGTAGTTTGGAAAGGGTCACCCTGATTTAGATCTATTAAAAAAATTAAACTTATTAGGAAATTTTATTGCCAGAAATTTCTTAAACCAAAAAATAGAAGAAAACCATAAACAGTTACAGTACAGAATTTCGAATTTAGAAATTTCGAATTTACAAACGGCCAAAACTGAAAGTTTATATATTTTTTTGTTCGTGAATTCCGAATAAAGAAGGAATTAAAAATTTCTGATAAAATTCCTAATACTCAATTCCTGATACCCAAAATCTTGAATTTATTTTTCAAGCCGACCTGATCTTTGGTCACGATTAGGAGACTAAAACAGTTTTTAAACTTAAAGTAATATTAAATAAAAATTTCAGATACAATAACATGAAACAAAAGAAATATATAATTATAAATATATCATTAATAACGTTGTACAATATTTTTATGATTTTCATCGTTATTTTGCCCGTATATGAAAAATATGGAAATTTTAGAATAACAGGGAATCCTATGGATATCATTATAATTATTTCATCAACCGGTCAAATTCGAACTGTGTTCCCTTTAATTATTTACATCAACACTTTATTGAATTATTCATTAATTGGAATATTAACAAAGTTCATAACGGGTATGGTTTGTCAGCCTAAAATTATTATTATATTTATGGTTGCCAAAATGGCCCGACTCGAACCTAAAGATCGAGTCGGGCCTAAGATATTTAGCCCGAAAGACTCGTACGGCCCGAAAAAAATGTCTCGGAAAAAATATGTTAAGTACTGTACTTCCAAAATAAGTACGAATCCGAACCCTGATTTAGTCTATTTATAATATTTATTAGATTTGCATCATGAAACAATTAAAAAGCTTTATCGATCTCTATATCTTATTGTTTTTGTGAATATCTGTTCTTGCCTTATTTTCCAACTCGTAGCAGTTCTACTACTCGGATTTTCAATAGAAAACGGCATAAATGAAGAAATTTGGTTTATATTAACATATTCTAGTATTATATATATTTTTGGCTCGGCTTCAAATGCGCCAGTACTTTTTATTAATAGGTAAATCTTATGATTAGGGTTAGGATTTTTAGGCGCGATAAAGTTAAAAATAGGCGCCTATATATGTAGGCACTAAAAATTTGCAAAATAGGCACAAAATACGAAAAAAGGCAAAATAGGCAAGAGTAATTTGCACTAGAAATTTAGCAACAATGTTTAATCTGCGCAATAATAAGTTACTTATAAAATAATTTTGATGCCTTAATTACAAATAAATCAATTTGTAGTATATCTATTTTATTTTCAGAAATATGTAGTAGTATGAACAAATTTTTTGTAGAGAAAATTATTTTAAAAAAATATATATTTTACCAAAAAATAATTTTTAGTCAGCAAATTTCTCAAAAAATACCCAAAAATTCGCAAATTTAGGTAAAAATATGCAAAATAAGCTGAAAAAAGGCAAAATAGGGCATTTTGTAAGAAAAAGTTAAAATAGGCAAATTAGGCAACGATAAAATTAGTTAGAAAGCAGATTTCAGTAAAATAACACCGGATTTGAACGTTTCAGCGACAGGCCTATCTAGGAAAAAAACAGGCATTTGCCTAAAAATCCTAACCCTACTTATGAGGTTAAATAAATAATTTAGAAATTAAATTAATAGTACTGACTACAGAGAGGCTTATTTAAAAGAATTTGCTTTAATTAAATCTTTTTTCAAACGTATATTCAATAATTCTGTAACTCCATCGAATGTAAATGCCGTAGCTAATATTCAAAATTAAGCAAGAAAATCTTTTTTGAACAATATAGAGTAGTCAAAAAGACTTAAAAAGACACTTTAATTCAAAAATAAAATATTTTATCAAAAATTACTAAACAAATATTTTTGATGTTAATTTACTTGTAAACCCTATAAAAAATAAAAAGAAATGTATAATTGAAAATTATTTTAAACTTCTAAAGTTCATTTTTAATAAATTTCATTTAATTTCTATATCCTCTGTCTTAATCCGTAACTCTTTTGTTATTGTTCACAATGTCGTCTTAAAATCAGATTTCATAAAAAATGTTAAATTAAAATATTAAATTTACCTAAAGTTCCAGTGAATCGCTTAAAAATTTTTGAAATAAATTAAATTTCAAATTTACCAAAAACCTGATTTCAATGTTCTTCGTTTGCTAACATTTTCCCCAAGTTTTGATTAATTGATGTGTTTGAATTTTCTATGTGGAAAACATTCTGTTGATTTATTGACATGTTTGAGTTATATTTTTCTTGAATAAATTACTAAACAAATATTGTTTAATGTTAATTTACTTGTAAACCCTATAAAGAATAAAAAGAATTATATAATTGAAAATTGTTTTGAACTTCTAACTTTCCTTTACAATAAACTTTATTTAATTTCTATATTCTCTGTCTTAATCCATAATTGTTTTGCTTTTATTCACAATGTCGTCTTTAAATCAGATTAAATAGAAATATTTTAATTAATTAAAATATTAAATTTACCCAAAGTTCCAGTGTATCGCTTAAAAATTTTTTGAAAGAAATTAGATTTCAAATTAACCAAAAACCTGATTTCCAAATTCTTCGTTTGCTAACATTTTCCCCAAGTTTTGATTAATTGATGTGTTTGAATTTTCTATGTGGAAAACATTCTGTTGATTTATTGACATGTTTGAGTTATATTTTTCTTGAGAATTTTGGGACACAGAAGGAATAAATGTTGGGTTACTTTGGGCATTTTCATTCATTGTTTCAAATAATGTTTTTCCAGAGGGAGTATTATGTTTGAAACTGTGTTGCAGATTGTTTGGTGTATTTTGAACTATGTGCTTATTTTTTAAATTTTGCTTTAGAAGAAGTTGATGAATTTTATTCAAATCTTGAAAATCCTTTAAATTTTTTTTGTTTAATATTTTCTAAATAATTTTCCCTTTGCAACTCAGTTGTGGCTAAATTACTAAGGTGGTTACTACTTTCTGACATCAATTCTCGGGTATGTTGGTCATAAACAATAGAATTTCCATAATTATGCAAATTCATATTATTTTGTTCATTTAGTTGTATTCCTCCATTATTTCCAAAATTTTTAAAATTATTATTTAAATGTTGCTTAGATTCAAATCTAATCTTTAACTGTTCCAAAGCTTTATTATAATTCATAAAAAATTCAAGAAATTCTTTTTGACTCTCATAATCACTTCGAATAACTTGCAGGGTCTCTTTTACGATTGCCTTTTGCCTTGCAAATTCGTTTATTGTTTCTCTCATAAAAGTATTCATTCTATTGTGATTTTGTTCATTTAGATCTACTTGCTCTCCATCCGTATTTTTTGTGTGATTTTCCATAGTTGATTCTTCTAAGGCTAAATTATTTATGCTGTAACTATGTTCTCCGATAATTGGTTGTATTGGGGAACAATAGAAGGATGCCCCTATTTCAAATTTGATCTATGTTATTTAGTGATTTTTCTTTAATTTTTTCACTATTCCTTTAAATTGCTAGGGGTATATTCAAAGATCGGACAAGTTAGACAAGGTCTGGGTCAACAATGTTACAATTCGGAATATGTTTACGAATTTAAATTTAATAAACGAAACAACCAAGAATGTTGTATATTCCATCAATACTTGTTCTCTGATTATCATGGTAAATATTTTGCTGAAATTGTTGATCATAATTAGAACTTGATGGTTCTCCATTTGCAAAAGATTGGTTAAGAAAACCTGTAGTATTTAGCTTTTGTTTCTGATTAAACTGATTTTGTTGATAGCTAGGTTGAAAATAGTTTGGGTTATACATTTGTTCAAAAGGCATGCCGGTATCTTGAAAGTTTAAAGTCCAATGAGAATTATATATCTAATTATAATATTTTAAAATATGTCGATTCAGTTGACATATGTAGATGATCCTAAAACATTCAACGCATACTTTCCCTCTTAAGTTTTATATTTCAGAAAGTTCTTCAGTTAACTGAAGCGCTTAAAAAAAGATTAAATCAAAATAAGATTTCTAAGAAATGATAACTTTTAATAGCAAGTTATCTCTAGAAAATTCTTCTTTTTTTATCAAATTGTTTTTCAACTAATTTAAAGTTTAATAATAAATTATTACAATTCTTGACTTGATTCCGGAAATTTTCAGTATCAACACTAATAAATGTCGTTGGTGGTCGTTGTTTTCTCTTTCTATTTCTCTCTTAAATTAATTAATAAATTTACAAATTAAAATTTTCAGCACGTCGTATAGTATCATAGACGAATTTTAGTTGGCACTATTTTGGGGAAATTTTTGTATAATGATAAAATGACATTTCAAAAAATAAAGCTCCGGCTCCGATGGAGCTGCACCGGGAGCCAGACTAACACTTTTCCAAAAGCCGTATGAAAATCCGATGGAAATTTTACACTATTTTTAGGAAAGTATAGTAGCAAACTTCTTTTTGGATCCGGCATTTGTGTATTCATTTGTGATGATTCAGGCAATGAATTGTTTCTTAAATTTTGTCCAAGATGTTGGATTTGCACATTTTGTATATGTTGACCATCAGAAAAATTATTTCCAATATTTTCATTTACGCAATAAAAAATATTATTTTGAATGAGAATATTTAAGAGAATTAATCGAAATAATAAAATAAAGATCATGCCCTGAAATAAAATTAATATTTTTGAAAATTTTTTATTTCATTTATTTGTCAATTAAAGATTTATTTAAAATTTTATTTTTAATTTAATTTATAAAAATAATGCAAATAAAAATTTATTTTCAAATCATCTTCACATGATTAGACTTAAATAAAGGGCATAATGTCGGGCCATCCCTTTAAAATATTATTTTGCCAACATGTTTTGCCGGCAAAATTTATTAAAGAAAATTAATTTTAAATTAAAGGGCGATGTAAAGGAAATTGCAAATTCTGATAAACATTTTCAGTGAAATGCATGTGATTTTATAATGAAGTTACTCACAACATGTTTAATAGCTCAATTTTATATATGTACTTCAATAATAATTATTCTTATTTTAAACTTTTGAGGATACTAAAATTTATGTCTCAATTATGTTAAAAAATTAATCCAACTAAATAATTATCAAAGTGTTTATACAAATGTTTTTGATAGACAATTTAAATCAAGAGAAATGAAAAATGTAATATTAGAGCCAGGACTAAGACGAAAAATCTCGGTTATAGAGATCTAGATTTTGCGAGATCTAGATTCTCATGCTATCCTCCCAGTCAGGGCTCTAATTAATATTGTGTTTTGCATGAATATTTAGCAGAATAAACTTGAATATATATAAAAATTGCGGAATAATATACAAGAGTTGAGTTAACACTTTCAAACATAACCAAAAACGAGGATTTTCGCTTTAGAGTGTTAATTTGGTGTGGTGTGGTGTTCAAAACAACAAAATTTTTAAAATAATTTTGGATTAGAAATAAATATTTAGTTGAATAAGCATAAGATAATAATTTTGTTTGTAAATCAATTAGATTAAATCATGTAATAAATGAAAATCAAGGCCTGATGTATCGCTAAAATCAAAGTCCAAATCATTCAAATCTATCTGATTTTCCACTTTTACATTAATATCCTCAAATTGAATATCGAATAAACTAATAAATTCAGCGCCCAGAAGCTCAGCTTTTTGTTTAGCAGTTTCAGTTGAAAACAATCCTTTACCTAAATACTTTTCTTTCATTTTTCTATTTTTAAGCATTGTGACTTCATTATTTGGACCCAAATTTTCCAAAATATTAATAGAAGCTTCTTGTAACCAAACTCCTCGAGCCTTTTCTATAAAATCGTTGAGGATAGATTTTCTATCAGATTGTCCTTCATGATGACTTGATGTTGAAGATTTTTCTTCCTTTAAATTAAATATTTTTTACTTAAAAATAATATTTTATTAGACACTTAAGCAACTTTTATCCATCCAAATTCCCCCATTATATACTGTATCCCATTAATAATATCGCTTTAATTATTCAAAATATACCTTAGATTTAGATTTGCTTAATTTTTCCTCTAATGAATAAGCAAAAATAAAAAGACGGCTTAAAATACACAAT